TCCCAACACCTTTTTTCTAGTTGTAGTACTAAAAGAGGTTCTTGAATTATCCTTGTATGGTACCCTCTTCTAGCAATGTCTTAAGCAATTATTGGTGCTTGGCTGCCCCTGCCTTTAAGTTATTTTGCTGGGAGAATGTAGAAGTAATTATAGTAGAGAGCCTTCTTGTCAACAAAGTCCAGCTAAGATGAGGCTCCAAACCACAAGAACTAAGCCTGTCACTCATCTATCCCTAAGGCATGTCATAAATGTTACTATGACATTTAAACTTTTTTGTCTTTTATAAGCATGGAAACATGTTCATTCGAATTTCCTTGCAAAACATTGAACAATTGAAAACGAAGCATCAAACGGATGACGGACCTAAGTGTAGGTTACTTGACACATTTTTAAGTTTTCCTGAGGCAATTTGAGTACAAACACAACAACAAGCAGATAGCTTTTAGCTAAATAAAAGGTAGTCCATTGCACAAAACATCACGCAGAGTGCGAGGAAGGTCTGCACCTCAAGGGTGTGTGATGTAGGCAGCCTACCCTGATGAAAGCATCAATAGTTGATTCCACGGCTCGAACCCATGACCTATAGGTCACACAGAGACAACTTAACCGTTGCTCTAAGGCATAGCTTTTAGCTAAATATCCTCCAGTTTTCAGTCTACTATTTCAGCCTCGGAAAAAAGATTTCCTCAAGGTTCCCAAGTCCTTTAACTTGTTCTAGGAACAAGCACAGCTCAGCCAATTTGGCGGCTTCTAATTCCCTAATAAGGTTTTCATCCTCCTACAAGGATTTAAGTACACACGGGTAATTTGTAGCATTGGAAGGCAACCTACAACTTTATAAGAAAACAACTTTTGACTAGGAGAAAAAAGGGTTCACACAAAAGAACAAGAGCTATGGCAGAGTTCCATCAGTTGAGCTTCGCAAACAAGTTTCCTCTCACATAGTTGAGAGCATAAAATTTTGAAAACCAAAGCTTTTATCTTTTGACCATCAACTTTTATATTTTATATAGATGGAGTTTCTTTTAAGGAAATACAAATTACTTGTCACTAATTAGGGATTACTATTGAACTGATTTAAACATATAGAGACAGAAGGTTCCTTATACAACCTTCCTTATTGGTGAACATCAAGTACTGAACCTTATTAACTGCTACCAAGTTATTTGGTGCGGTGCTTCTTTCATTAGGATGTGTTAAAGGTGGTAACAGCCTAAATGATCACAAAATGGGGCATCCATTGACCAATTTATAAATCAATGTTACCTTATGCAAAACATCAAAGTTGATAGTACTAAATGTAACCGTAAAGAATGACAAGAGTACACAATGATGCATTATGTGGCTCCACCTGAATAAAATTCTCATCCAAGAGTTAACGATGATGAATCATATCAGACTCGTATTGTGTAACTGGAGGATGTGTTTTATCATGGAGACTGTTCCTTTGGATAAGCCAACTCCTCCATCTGCCAGCTTTCATGGGGTGCAACATGGTCATGTGAAGGAGTATATTGCTGCAAATTGAAGAACAAGATAAGACTCATCAGCAAAACGCGTAAATAACAATAATTTGACAACACAACTCATATGAATGGAAGGTGNTAATAAATGGAAGGTGGACAATTCCTGCCACAAGGCATCAAAATTTCACATTTTAACATTTTAGAACAAGTGACGACAAAAGGAATGAACAGAATCCAACAGTAAGAATATCCTTTAATCTAACATATAACAGGTGAACTGCAGCTAGTTCTCTAGCTACAGAAGTTTTCATTCCCATAGCACATAGTTGAGGTAAAGCCATAATTGGTTACTTAGCAGATAAAATCTCAGTGGTCGGAACATCCTAAGACTCTTTACAGACCTTAATAGTTTGTGTTCCCTATGTCAGTCGAAGCTTTATATGTTGGTTTGATTTTGCTTGGAGTAACGATGGTGATCATAGTGATGAAATAAAAGTGACCAGCCTCAAAGACTGATTGAATAATTTTGTAGAACATAACAAGCGAATGCATGATTTAACTTCATCAAAAACAAATAAGTGTAAATTAGATAAAGTCAGTACCTCCATCTTGCTTAAAAGCTCTCTGGCTGTAGGAGCAGCAAGAACAATGTCACGAGCCCCTGGCTTGATGAAACCTTCTTCAACACCATTGTCAAATAGTGTAAGCAAAGAATTATAATAACCCTCAACATTTAGCAAACCAACCTGCACAAGAGGTTAAGATGGTCAAAGATCTTGCAGCCAACTATCAAACTATACCAAATGAATGCTATAGATACCGGTTTTTTGTGAATTCCAAGTTGTGCCCATGTTATCATTTCCAGAGTCTCCTCCATGGTTCCATATCCTCCTACCACATAATAAAAGCAATTTGACAAGAGTTTGAGAGCATATGTATCTCAAATGTACTCTTACAGATATTTACCTGGAAGTGCAATAAAGGCATCAGCTTGACTAGCCATTTCAGCTTTCCGCTCATGCATGTCCGAAACAATCTTTACATCACCAACACTTTCACCTGATATCTGTCAGTGCAACTCATGTTGAAAGTAACTATTTCAATAGAAACAACTTCACAGAATGCAAAATGAAGAGTTCGCAAAACAATACAGCAAGAAAAAGGCTCGAGTGCAGAGATGCAAATATGGCCAATAGAAAGTAATAGCCAAATAGCAGCAACACCCAGTGGAATAGAATCAGAAATCCAGACAGACCAGACCAGTAGTAAACCAATGAAAACACTCGACTAATAGACACAACTGGAATTTCAAAGAATCAGAATTGATTTGAAACAGGTTGAACAACTGAAACCCAGTAATAATAGGAGGAAAAAGCTTCTGATTGTTGGTTGTACCCCCTCTATCCCTTCAACTCTCTCTGTCTATGTGTATCCCCCCTTTTTTTCTTCTTTTGTATTTCCAGCTCTCCTCCCTCTTATAGGCCTCAACACTATCCCTTTTAAACAGCCTGTTCAGACTATTACCATACCCCTCCCATGTGCCTTTAAACTTTTCAGTTCCACTTTAGTTAATTAGGTATAAAAACCCCATCATTCCCTGGCAGATTTAACTTTTCCATTTTATTTAACTAAAGCAAGTATGGGCAGTAGGATATGTTGACAGCATATGCTGTCAAACTATTTTAAAATTAAACAAGGACCTTTATGCAGGCCACAGGTTGTGCACAAAGCACATGAGGTGCACCAATGCACATGAGGTGCACTAATGCAAATGCTGTGCAAGAGTGCACATGCCCTCCAATTCAGCATTTAAAACAAACATTCCTTTTACATTACTGATCCAAATCAACAGATATAAGTAAACAAAATTGTTTCTCAATTGATTCAAAAAAATGTTCGACAGAAGCAAATCGATTTGCTATGCTCAGACAGTTGAAACTAATTGACGACTCATGTCGACTCGACTATATTAGCATTAACGTACACAATCGTAGCCAAAAATCAGACATTCAGAAGTATGAGACACATGACTCGACTTATACTGATAAAAATAGAATGGTACTTCGAGGAATCAGTTAGTCAGTACAAATTGGAATACAACCAATACGCATNATTCTAATTTCCTAAATACACAAACTAATTAAATAAAATCAAGCACCACTAATTAACACTTAACATATTTATTTCACGCGGATAAAAATGTTAAAAGTAGGCAAAATTAAACACGGCAACAAATCAGGACAAAAGAAAAAATGCGTATTTTTTGTAATTTTCCATCTAACAAACGGGTCATGGTTTAAATTACGCATGACACATACATTTTTAATTCTTTTGGAGCGATTGTCGCGTAAAACAAAAATCACGTGCTCACACTACCATTAAAGAAAATTATTTTTGACTATCAGATGCTGCACCACTCAATCACTTCCAGTGAACTGTGAGCATAAATACCTTTTATGCAAGAACCATTAATATGCAGTTTATCTGGATAACTAATTCGAATTTCCATATTTTTGCCTCTTTCAATGGGAGATGAAACTCAGACAAGTTTTTGAATCACTTTGGCACTTGAAAGCTATCAGTAATTAGGCATATCGAACAAAACCATTTCACATCGATAAATAACATTTCAGCAACAGAAACTCCAAGCAAACCGAATATATGAGATAATGTAACAAATTGGAAGAGAGAGAGAGAGAGATTGTAACTTAGAGCCTTAGACAATTGTGAAATTTGAGTTCAAATTTTCAGCAAAATAGAACCTCAAGAAAAAAGAATAGCAGTGATATAAAAACAATTAAGATACCCCCCCC